GCCTCATAAGATGCAGAACGTGGGTTCCTTCTCCTACGGCCGCCGTGGTGCCTCCCCTGCCGAGTGGCCGGACGGACTGGGCCAGGCGGCGAAATGGCAAAGAACAAATAATTATGTAAAAATCGAGTTCTAACTCAAACAAAAAAAAAAGCAAAGAATACAAAAAAATATAGGGCACCGCGTTTCAATTTACGGCTGAATAATACCTGTACAGTGTGCGATGGAATGCTCAACTAGACCGTTTTTCGTAGCGCATTAGTTTCCTCCTGGCCCTTGAATGCAATGTGGCACCGCTTCGCGCATACAGAATTGCTGGGCTGCGTATTGGTTTCAATCGAGGGGAACGCTTCCTCACCAGATCATCACACCTGCCGTTCTACCCAACCGTAACTGTGCTTCGGGTGCACAACTTACCATGAGACACGTGGCACCTTGATTTGCAGGTGAAACGATCAGACGCGCCCACTCGAGTTGCCACTTTTTTAAATGTAAAAGTGAAGGCACTGAGAAGAACACGGATATTTACCTGGGTTCTAAACGTTCAGGATTTTATCCGCCAACTATTTCGCAAAAGTTGAAAAATGATTTCATGGCGATTTTCATACATCCAAACATACACGCAAAAGTCTTTTTTCTGTGCGTTTTTACTACACCACGCAGGATGCTCTTCTGTCGACCAACTGCGACCCCAAATGGTTGTTCATCAAAGTTATTTCTACCGGCTGCCGCAGACCGAGGCACGGATCCAAAATGGCTGCCACTAATGCCCCAAACACTTCCGGCTTCTCTTCTAGTAAACGTAGTCGTGGACGATAAGCCATTCAGTAAGGAGCGCTCATATAAGCTTTGAAATAAAATTTTGTATCTCTTCCTGGGTCTCATGCCTGAACGTTTGTTTACCGCCAGTGGTCATGCGATGTATTTTTTTTTCTAACAAGACTCTCAGAACATTTACAAAAAAAAAAGTTAAAATTGGTTTTCTGAAATTGTTCTATCATTGCCAGTCTTTTGAGCCCTAATCTTCCGTTTAATAACTATTTCTTTTCTTACATTGCTATGGTGCCTCGCATCCGACTCCGGCTTGATGTGCTTACTGAGTCCTAAACAGTGGCCCCTCGATTTCCGCCTGTTGACGGCATAGAAATATCAAGTTTTCGCCAGCAGCGATCCTGGCCGTGCCACAGCAGTAGTGTGGATGTGAAGGAGGCCTGTTGGACTGCTGACCTCCCTCGAGCTTGACAGCCCACGGAAACTTCGAAAGCCAGGAGCTGGGACGACGCGACGACACCCGCTTCTGCTCGTCCATCTTGCCGGGACGTCAAGCACCAACTGTCAGGACCTCGACATCCGACAGCATGACAGGCCGGCTCGTATGGCGTCATTTGCTGCCGTTTCTCTACCACTTTTGATATACGGGCAGGATAGAACGGAGCCCGCATGGGCTGCCCAAATAGACACTGTTGTTCCCTCGACGGGAGCCCCCGTGGGCTCCCCAGGTATAGGCCTTTCGTGGGTCCCCCCAGGACAAATAGTTGTGGTGTTCTTAAAAGGTTGGGCCCGACTTTCAAAGCCGACGTCAGACCCATTCGGGCTGTCCACTTTGGGCGTCGTTTCAGAACCTACTTTGTGCCGCTTGGGAAAACATCTTAAAGATACGTAAAGCACGCATCGTTTTATTTTATTTTTTTGCACGCCTGATTGTTTTATGTACAGTGCTTCCCTTCCCTATTGAAAAATCCACCAGACCGGTTTGGTGTGTCCTAGTGTTTTCTGGCGTTAACATCAGGCCGGTCTGTTGTGTTCTGGTGCGCACATCAGGCCGGCCTGATGTGGTCTGGTGCGCACATCAGGCCGGCCTGATGTGGTCTGGTGCGCACATCAGGCCGGCCTGTTGTGGTCTGGTGCGCACATCAGGCCGGCCTGGTGTGTTCTGGTGCGCACATCACACCAGACTAACGTATTCTGGTGTGCCCCCCAGAACACGTCAGGCTGGTTTGGTGTGACCGTCACACCATCCTAGTGTGGTCTGATGTGCACATCAAAACACACTAGGCTGGTCTGATGTGCACACCACAGCACACTAGAACGGCATGATGTACACACTACGCCACAACAGACCAGTTATACTGTGCACACCAGGGCACACTAAACTCACCTGATATGCACACCAGGGTGCCTCTGGTGACATACGTTAAGGATATATGTCTGGAGTTGAATGAAAACATGTTTTTTTTGTAAAATTAATAGGATGTATAGAGCTCAAATACAACATTTTATTTTGTAAGGTGCTTAATTGAAGGGGCGTTGCAATTGATTCAGTTTGAATATGTACGAATTCGCGCGATCGTGCACTGACAGTGTAACATGTACAGTAAAACCTTGTTAATTCAGCCCCCACTAATTCGGAAATTCAGATAATTTGAACTGCCGATCCGGTCCCGTCAAACGTATGCATTAGTCAATGGCAGCAAACGCTCATTAATTCGGAAGGAACGGTGCACAGTGCGGTTAATTCGGACAAATTCGGCATCTGGCACTAGCTACCGTCCGTTCCAAAGGGTATAATCGCTATCCATCCGAGGTGCACACGTGATTTTTCCGGTTATCCCATGGCTCTTCACTCTTCCGGTTCTCCGTGTTTCGCACCAGTTTTGCTCTGTATTGCTGTGCTTCAGCGCGTTACTCTCCTGGCATGGAAGCGGCAGACGCATAGCTGCAACGGAAAAAGGGTAGCACAAGTGAGCGACGACCGGAATAGCAAAATCCTGACACGTGGGGCTATTGTTCCCGAGCGTGCCGATAGCGAGTGACAGTCACGTTTTGTGCCTCAACGCGGGGATCCTAAAGCCCGCCATTTTAACAGCTATCTTATCCCTCAATTTTTCGCCGGCCACCCCCGCGTTGAAAAATGCAACGCGACTCGCACTCTCGCTATCGGCGCGCTCGGGAACAATAGCGCCGGGTGTCGCGATTTTGCCACTCCGATTATTGGACAGTTGTGCTACTCGTTTTCCGTTGCCGCTGTACTAGGCTAAAAATTTAGCGACGAAAGTAAAAACACTGAGGGCCTTGAAGGACGGTGCCTCTCGACAAGTGACGGAAAGTTACGTCAAGAGAAGCAGTTTGGCCACGTACGTGAAAATTGAGGCAGATATCGAGAGCGAGAAGTTCAACGCGAAAAGAAAGCGGCCTTGGAAGGTGGTGCACCCGAAACTAGAAGAGGCCTTGCTGTGCTATCTTGTCGGTCCACGGGATGCGTAGCTCCGACAGTGCGAGTGCGGTGGAGCACTCGACCACGCTAAGGAAAGTTGCCGTCTCCGCCCAAGTATCGTCCAGAAAGCAGGCGGTAATAACAGATTTCTTCTCAAAATAAAGGTATGTCACAGGGAAACGTTTTCGCGCTGTTCTCTTTGTCCTTTCAATGTTTCGACTTTCGGATAATTCGGACATTTTTGCCGGTCCCATGAGATCCGAATTAACGAGGTTTTACTGTACCCGTACGTAAGGCACCGACCCACAACTTCCATTGTTGCTGTGTAATCTCAAAAATAAAAGTGGCATATCTCTTCTCACTTTAGCAGAACTTGATGACATAGTCCACGGCCACAGGGGGGGTACCTCGTTTACCCATCAGATAAGCTATAGCCTTTGCAAAAACTTTAGGAATCATCCCCAGAGCACGCCAGCCAAACGCTGCTCGTGGATTGGGCACGAACACGGCATCATCGCACGGCTTGGACTCGAGAACAATGAAAGGCTGTGTACAGAATTAGGTTAGTGCTCGTGTTCATTCACTGCAACGACGGAAATTGCCGAAGTTTAACAATGTCTAGGAAGAGCACCCGTCCTCTACATTGCATACCCAAGTCCGTGGCTATGACGAACATTAGAGGCATAAAAGTGTGGCACCAGAAAATGTGACCGCTTGATCAGCGTGCGAGTTGAGGGGTTGAAAACGGATAATTTTACTTTAATTTTTAGAGCTACTGCTAGTATGCGGATAGAGAAGTAGCACATTTTTTACTCATTATGAGCCTCAAAGATGATTTCAGCACAATATTTAGCAAGTGAGAAAATGGTTGCACAGCCCTTTTAAAGCTCATGCATCAGAACTCCACCTCATAGGACTAAGCTGTTTAGCCACTGAAGACAAGGAGTTTGAATTCATATATCAAGTTTATTACTTGAAAAACATATTCTCAATAGATAAGCCAAGGGGAATTAAGAACCAAAAATTAAGAGATTGCATAAGTTTTCACGCAAATATTTGTGTGAATTAGCCTCAAAATATTGATGGAAAAGTTTAAACTTTTCTATCAAAATTTCGAGGCTAATTTTTTTTTTTTAATTCGGAAAAGCATATTTTAACTGATTTTATAACCAAGCCATAGTTTCCATAAACAATGCAAGAATCTGTTTTTGCCAACATATCAGTGCACAATATTGATCTTTTATCCTACTGTAAAATACCAGTCACATGCTTATGGACTTTCAAACGTGTGAAAAATAGGAACCCAGCAAGTACTTTTGAAATACTTGAAAAATGGCCTGTAACCTTTCCACAGCAGCCATCTTCCAGTTCAGAATTACCTCCAAATTTTGGGTGGGTGTACTTTTGGTATTTTACATTGAATGTTACAGGATGTGAACTAAGCTTTTGTTTAATCTTGAGCCTTATCAGCAACATATTCATTGAATGTATTCTTTTGTAACTATACTTTGTCTCAGCTTCGATCCGAGCGCGGCCAATGTTCCGAGCCGAAGGGCCAATAAAACAGCGAAAGAGGCACAGCGTCATGGCGTGCTCTCTGCAGTTGATAGGACCAGCCGGTATTCGCCGTCTCTGTGCGTGCTCCTCCGCCGGCTAGTCCTATTAAGCGCAAAGAGCACGCCATGACGCTGCGCTTTTTGATTGGCCCTTCGGCTCATAACATCGGCCGCGCTCGGACCGAAGCTGAAACGAAGTATAGCTTAACCATAAAAGTGCTGGGCATACCTCATTAATCTTTTTCATAAAGATTTGGAATTTTTGCAAGAAAAAACCTATTGGTTCGCTCCACCAACACACACGGTGAAGCAATGTCTTCTACACGAAGCAAGCACAGACCAACATTGGTAGGGGGATGCTCAATTTCACACAAAAAAGGCATTAAACTCTCTCCACAAATGAATTCCTGGCACAGCAACAGGACACTAGCCTCCACTGCAAACACTCTGAGTACTCTACAAAGCTTGCCGTCACTGGCTTCAAGGTACTCAGAGCAAGTCTTGTCTGGCCTTCGGTACTGGGCACTGTGCACAATGATTCCATTAAGCCGGGCCCTCAGGTACTCACTAACTAATGCTACATGACCTACTGTGTCTTCTATTAGCACCTTTATGCAGTTTTCGAGCACAGGGCGTGGCAAAGGTGCACCCAACACACGCGATTGGTGCTGCTCTCCTCGTTTACCCAAAATTAATTCTTGCTGGCGTTTCAAGAAAGGTGGAAGTTTCACTATCCGTGTTAGTGACTTTAGTACCTCTCGCATGATGTAGCGTTCGGCTATTTGCTGAGGCACACCTTTGGCTGCAGAAACAAGCTTTAAAATTTCACCATTGCCCCCTTCGAAAGGAAATGTAGAAGTGACCCACAACGGTCCGGTCATTCGCACTGATTTAGCGAGGTGAACAAGCTGGTGAATGTTAAATGTTAGGTGATTTTCACCATACAGTGTAGCAACTTCTTCTACAAACTGCTTGAGTAATCTTTCAGCGAGGATAATCTCGCACTCTTGAATAGTCGTCTTCAACAGCATAAACACACTTTGAGAAAGAAGAGAAAAATGTGTTAGGTATCTTTGCGGAAGAAGATTTTGGAGGGTCGGCACTCCATAATACAGAAGCCAGTATTTCCATTCAGTGGCTTTCCAAAATGATCGTTCTGAAAGTGGTCTGGGAAGCCTTGTGAAAGAGATTGAAGGGCGAATCTTTACGATTTGCTCATCGAGCTCTTTGAGCCTGTTTCCAATATACCACCGCTGTCCAGTTGAACACAACCAAAGATCCATCAGTTGTGAAACTACGCCTTCCAGAACACAATGCAAATAATCTGGGGGGAAACCCCACACCAAGTCCAGTGAGCGCAGCTTAGCACAGGCTGATGGTCCCTTTATGCCGTCAACAGGACGTCCCCTTGCAGCCGCAATAGTCATTGCACTGATCACCGTGCTGTGGGATCTCTCTACCATGTCTGGGCCTTCGAAAGTGTATTTCACTGTCCCTGAAAAGCAGAAGCATGACAATAAGTTTTTCCTCTTGACTTTACTATAAAAGGTGAAAGCCTGGGCAAAAAGCTGCGGTTACAGCCTGACAAGGTTCTACGAGAATTATGTTTCTTTGACAGGCAGCTAAATTAAAAGCCGTAAAGTTGCCTTCATCGAGGACAAAATTAAGACCAAACAATTGCTTTGGCCTTATGTTTCATGTAAAAATGAACAAGCTAACACTTTGTAGTATGGCTGCAAGAAGTCTCACCGTCAACAAGTTTCCCTCTCTGAAAACACCACGAACACCCATAGTAGCCGTTGTACTGTTTTGCATTAAGCAAAGCAGCCCGTGCAGGTGAGTCAACGCAGCAGCACAGGACACTGACCGTCGACTGCACAATTTGTCCAGCAAAAGTCCATGTCAGCGTGCCAATCGCATTGAACTTTTCCACAAAGGTCTTCAAGTATAAGTGAGCAGGTGGATGTTCTTTGGCGAACCACACAGCGGCCACTAGAATGTTCTTCCAACGATGTGGGATAGGTAACTCATTCAATGAAACTTGTATTGGCCACAAGGACCCTTTACTTGACCTGAAAACTGGTGATCCGTCACTGTTTACAGTTACAGTCAAGTCACTCCATGTCATCTTATTTTCACTGCGGCATTTCCTGTAGAGCGCACCATCTGTGATATCCCGGTATAGTCCTTGATGAGGCGAAGAAGCAAGTTGCTTTAGGTTCTTGCCTACCAGCTCCCCAGTGTGTTTCAGCAAGTGCAGGAGTTGCTGCTTCAGGTCCGTCGTTATAAAAAAGCTTCCTTTCTTCAATAGCTGTGCCAAAGTCAGTACTTTTTCGCAGATGGCACAGCGCTGATGCTCAATTCCACAGCTTGTTGTCAAGAAATGACATGTTGGGCAGTAAGTATGGACTTCCACTCTCTTTGACTGCTGAAGCTCCCAGAGCTTTCTGAAATCATACTTTGTGGAAGGAAACACCTCTTGGCCTAACACTGCATTCATGAGCTTTAACAAACCATCAACCTGAGTCCATGGAAGGCCAGCAGCTGCAACAAATGTTAGGATGAGTAGCATGGCCTGTAGCACAGTGGTAGATTGGTGAGGCAGTGTTGTTTCAGAGTTCACCTTAATGAATTCTGAAAGATCCCCATCGGGGTCAGAAATGTCTGGACACCTGCCAAGATCACATTCCTCCTGAGCACCCTGTTCAGTTGACAAGCTTATGTCTTCCACATGCCCAGGGAGCTGACTGTCAGAGGTAGTACTCTCCGTTTGCAGACTTGGATCATGCTCTTGGCTAGCATTGTTCTCGGCAGCATCTTCTTGGGCCTCTATCTCCGGACTCCACTGAAAAAATATGAAGCAAAAGACAGTTTAACAATGAGTGCATATTCAGCAGCGAAACGGGTCCATATTATATGAGCGAATTGCACTTTAACGATTAAGTATAATTTTCGCAAACAACGTTTTAGAGAATAGGCCGTTTGCAGCCGGCAGCAACCCAGGCTTCCATACAAAGCCCTAGGGTTTACTGCCAAGAGTTCGGCAAGGTAGGCTACCAAAGAATAGATCTGTTCACTAATTTGAATGCCGCTGTTGGCTAAAGTGTCATTCAATGAAATGTTTTGTTTTTGGTCGCTAAAAAGTCTTTCAATCTAGAGTACCTCAATATTGTTAGCTGTGCCTGCAAGAGCGGAAACATTGTTTGGCGGGGCAAGTGCCACCGTCTTCTGTCATCTGCTCATGGGGCCGCCATATCCTCTCCCACTGAGCATATTGGGTGTATGCAAAACAGTGCGTATGAGGCTATAAAGGAGCGGTCGATTAAGATACTGGGCAGTATCGCTTGAAAGAGAAGTACAACCAGGACTACGTGGCACAACTATATAAGAACATGTATCTTCATACAAGCAATCCTCGATCATAATCAAATGCAAGCAACCGTCAATCGGGCTGTCGCCAACAAGTCTATGTTACATGCAGTCTAGAATGCGATCTTAAATTGTTAAACAAGCAGATACTTGATGGGAAGCTAGTGTTACACTTTCTTAAAGGGATACTGAAGCGAAACTTGAAATACACCTATTATGGTCAGAAATAGGTTCAATATGATCAATGATATTCATAAATCATAATCGCGCGTTTGTATTGTGAACGGATGGCTATATTTTTCACCCTAATGGGCCCGAATGGGCGCGCGCTCAAAAATCGGCCATCGGAGAGCGCGATGCGTCTTGGGATATTGGGCGCATTCGTGACGTCACTTGTGCCAGACGGGAAAGGCTACGGCGTGAATGTTGTGGTTACGAGCGTTGCCACTTGGTGGCGCGTCGACGATTTACGACCTGTGACAACGTGGCCGTTTGAGATGTGCAAGGGCTGCACGCACGCTGCACCACGGGACCACGGCAAGTCGGCAACCACGGCAGCACTGACAAAACCAGCTCTGAGGCCGGATTCTCAAAGCGAATTCACGACGAAAAAAGTGCGTACGACAAATTTGAAAGAAAACCCGTGCTCTCGAAACGAAATTGTCGTAACCTTTGCGCAGGTTACGACAGAATCCTACGACAGCTCCGAAGCTGTCTTACACACTTTTTACGATCAAATCAACAAGGCCGACAGCGTCGCTCAGTTACTTGGTATCGGCCACCAACGGACATTTATATTTCTTCGTGCTCTTCTCGTGCGTCCCGACTTCAACCAGCAAGAAAAAAGGAAGGAGTACTTAAAACAGACCACGACGATCAAGAACGCAGGATCCACAAACACACGAGAAGAGCTACAACAGCCACGATTCTGCCGACCGAGCGAGCTCGGCTCCGGCGGTCCTTGGCCAAGACCGTCTGTCCATGACCGGCTGGCCTGCTGAATGGAATATGCCCGCGCGACCCTTGTGGACCCTTACCGGATGAGTAGTTTGATCCCTGAACTAAATTTCAGAGGTCAATATTTTCCCCTTGTCATCTCGATCTCCTTGTTTTCCGAGACAGCGGTGACGAACGCTGTCGTCGAAAAGGGACTCTCATTGATTCTATCTCCTTGTTTTGTGTGATATAGAACTCAAATAAAAGCCATACGGATTACCTTGGCAACTCGGTATGTACACTCTGTTATTAGTATGCCATTTTTATTCTGACTCGACGCTACGTCAGTGTCGAGCTATAGCAGTTCGTGGGAGCTACGCGATGTCGGTCTAACCTTTCTTTGCCGAGTGTCATGTCAGTATCGAGTTGCAATCGTAAAAGATCGTTCCAGAAGCGCTTACCGAAACGCGGTCTAACAGAGCGAATCCAGCACTTCGATCAAACGCGCGTGTCCGCTCCGAGTATGAACAGGTATTTGGCATTTGCGTGGCTCTTGCTGACACCCTCGTAGTTCAAACATATCCTTTTTAACGTCGGCTTGCAGCTCGCGACTCGCAGCAACTAATACCGGCCGTGCCAGACGCATGCTCGGGCCGTGTCGTGCAAAGAGCCGCAACGAGAACGAGCTCACTGTGGCCAACTACGCTTTGGCTTTCTCCGCCAAGGCTTTGCAAACGTGTTCAGGCCTAGGCGAATTCTGCCGGCACGCCGTATTGCCGCAGAACGGCGCTGCTATTTTGGCACAAGTGATGTCACGAGAACTTCCCCCCATCCACCAGATGAGAATTTGAAATCGTTTAATTGTGTTTAAAATTAGTTCTCCTGTGTTTTACAGCGCAATATTTATATTTCCGAGGTGGTGCCTGTCCCTAGCCCATATTTATGCAACAAGATCGGCGCTAAAATTTCGTTTCACTACCCCTTTAACATTGTGCTACCGTCTTCACAAGTATCACACCCAATAACCTTGTCAATTGCTCGTAAAGACGCCAACGCACCTAGCACACGACAAAGATGGCTCAACTCTGGGAGAGGCGCAGCCAGCAACATGGAGGCACTCTACAGGGTCCAATCGAGAAAAGTAAGCCCTGCTTTTTGGTCTGCACAAAAAAACTATGGATCGTCCAATGCTGAAACTGCCAGAATGTAACCTAGCGGTTGAAGCAAGATGCCAAGGTTTGGGAACGTAGCATGATTGAATTAAAAAGTTATGAGTAACCATAGAACATTTTTAACGAAAAAATGGCGGGAGACGGAGCTCGCGAGTACATGGAAATGAATAGGAGACGCTATCGGGACACGACCCCATTTCCTCATTGAGATCTTCAGGAAATTGCTTATAATTGTTCAAAAGAAGTATTGACCTTGTGACAAATAGTATATTGTAATCAGGTTGCGTTTTAGATTTACCTTTTCTGGCTTGATGCTGTACCGTCCTAGGCTTTTGGTAGGCGTCGCAAATAAATAAATAACTTGAATTCATCGACGCTATGCTCTGAAACTTTGGCATCTTGCTCGGATCACTAAGGTTACATTCTAGCAGAGTTTTAGCAATCGGTGATCCGTAGTTTCCTTATGCGGGCCAAAAAGTTGGGTTTACGCTTCAAGCAAAATTTGGAGGATCTCTTTTCAAATGCGTTTAAAACGCATGAGCACTCGTTCCGCCCTTGCACTGCACATGCGCTAAGAATACCCTTCTCCAAGGATACCCTTTCTCCACTTGGCGCTCTTTCAGCTACGCCTCCGGCTTCACTCGGAAGTACAGGGTGTCACAAGAGAAAATTGACAGGTTTTTTTTTACCTCAAAAATAAACTAGGCATCGCCGAATGCTCATTCTTTGCCCAGAGGTAGCGCTAGAGGTCACAACCAGATGCCAAAGTTTCAGTCCGATCCGATAAATTAATCAAAAGTTATAAGTGATTTTCAGAAAATTTCAATGGGAAATGGAGTTTATTTTTGCCCGTTTTCGGTTTCTGGTGCCATAGAGCCCCATGTGTTCGAAAACTTTGTCGGTCGCCATTTTCCCATTGAAATTTTCAGAGTGTCACGCATAACTTTTGAATAAGGCGTCGAATTGGGCTGAAACTTTGGGATCTAGTTGTCACCTCTAGCACTACCTTTGGGTGGAGAATGAGCGTTCAGCGATGCCTAGTTTATTTTTGCGGTAAAAAAACCCTGTAAATTTTCTTTTGTGATACCCTGTGCACAGGCACTTTCTAGTTTGATTTTTTCCTCTCCCCTTGCCTTCTAACCCTTCCCCAGAAACTAACCCTGTATTCCATGATTCCTTGCGTGCGCGAAACCCTTGGATCACCCGGACCCCATGATTCTATGGAATTACAAGCCTGAGCCAGGGTTAACCGCAAGAGGCTTCATCTAGAGTCCTAGACGGACACACACAATTTCGGGAAATGACCCCGCATAGTGCTAACGCACTCCAATAAGAAACGCCCACACGGAGGGAGCATAAACCGCATGTGAGCGATATGTCTGGGTGAGCGACGAAGAGAGACCAAGAGAGGCGACGACGACGCGCTGTCGCCGGACCGTAGCTTGTCGAGGCAGGGGCGGATCCAAGTTGGGTGACGGGGGCGGCCCCCCCCCCCCCGCCCCCGCCCCCCCCCCTCCCCCCCCCCCCCCGAAATAAAACCGACTACCGGCCTGCCAGGTGGTAGAAGGCTCGGTACTCAAGGACGAGGATTCAAAATAGGGTAGGTCGCGCCCTAGCAGGCACACTTGTACTCTGAACTTGGGGAACCACTCCGTCGCTTCAACCGAGACTGATGTCCGCAGCGTCGGTTTCAAAGCACGGCTTGGAGCCAATAAGTCGGCGCAGCGGCGCACATTCAGGGGCCGTTGGCGCGGTGTGGTTCTGCAGCGGCTAAAACAAAAAGCGCAACCGGAGTCCTGTTTATCTTACTCAAAGTGTCTAGAGTACCGTCCGACGGCACTCTTGCAGAGCGTTCAAGTGCCGTCCGAAACTCTCGTAGAAAACGATATCTCAAACCGAGCTTTTCGAAGCGTAGTGCAGCTTAGTGGTAAGATGTCTGTCTCATAAGCAAGCAATCCAGGGTTCGATCCCCAGTGCAGGCTCACTTTTTTTTTTTTCTCGAACATTTTATTCTGCCTACGCATTTGGCGATATTTACATTAATTTTTTTTACGATTAACACAGGATAAAATAATGTAGTCGTCGAAATTTTGCTGAACGAAATGGTATGGGACTTCGTTTCCGGAGGTCCATGGGGTACAGCGGGGCTTGGTTTGCCGGCTGGACGCCGCGAAGCGGCGTGTACGACGGGGCCAAATGGGTCAATAGTTTTGTAATTAGCAGCCGCACAATCGCGCGGGGGTGTGTGTTAACGAGCTCCCCAGTGATACACGCGCCGTCCGACTCTCTTTCGGACGGCACTTGTAGGCGCGATTGGAGTGCCGTCGGAAGGCACCGTAGACACAGCCTATCTTACTTTAAATTCCCCCCACATACACACACAAAAAAAAATTTTGTGTTTTGAAGTTTTGAATCCGCCCCTGTGCCGAGGCAAACCGCATGCCCAGCCCGTTGCTCGGTCCGTCGCTGCCATTGCTTACATGCGGTTGAGGTTGATTTAGAAGACTGCAACCTACCCCTGAAGCAGATTTCCTCTCTCGCTGACTCCACGTTGTTTGGCGCGGCACCTTTGTTGACGACGCGCCGGGTTCTAAATAGGAGCAGTAGCGCTTTTTGGGAGGCATGCTGCATCAAACAAAATGTTCCGCTGATGGAGTCTTTTAGCGCATGCAGATACGCCACAACGGCCTCACAGTACACCACCTTTCTCACGCACAACACGAAAACAGAACACACAATCACTGCTCACACGACAACAAAAAGAAAAATTTAGCAAATGCGAAATGCCGCCAAAAGTAGTGCTACTTGCCGCTAGCCAATTCAAAACGCTAAATTTAGCGAGCAAAAATAAAATAAACTCTATCTAAAAATTAAAACAAAAAATGTTTTGTCTTTTTTACACAACAAAACTTGTTTTAATTAGATAGTATTTTTTTTACTAAATATCAGTTGTGTTCGCATTGTCTGGACTCTCAAAAGTTGTGTACGAAATATTAAACGTCAGCTAGATTGCAGCGCCAGTTGAATCATGCCGCGAGACTTAACGAAAAGCAGCAAAGCCTGTCATTGTTTTTGTGCGTTGCCTTTTGACTGTTTCGGCGCTTCGTCGGCTCTGTTGCTCTGGTTTAAACCTGTTTCTATTTTTGTGCTTTCGGGCTTCAGCATCTTACTACGCCCCAGGCTGCGCACTTTTACTGCGTCCCCACACTCTAGGATCGAGATGGAGTACTTCGTGTACGTCAAGTTTCTTTTCGACAAAGTAAAGAAAGTTACAACATCCGGCAACGTCAAGAGGTTCCATCCAGAGCACGCACAGGACTTCAACCCTGGAGATGTATACAGCGTCTACTGGGAAGGAGATGACAGGACGCGTGGTGGTTACTACGAGGCAGAGCTTTTACACATGACAGGTAAGCGGACCATTCATAACGCCAGTTTGGTTGGAACTTGGAACCTCCTCTCTACCTTCCCCCGTCTATGGCGTACTCTCAGGCGGTTATATTGTCATAAGTTATATTGTGAGTGTATTAAGAAACGTAGTGTCTAGAGTAGAGCACTGCACGGGCTCGGGCCAGCGCGAAAGCCCGAGCCCGGCCCGGCCCGCGCGAAAGCCCGAGCCCGGCCCGGCCCGCGGGCATGACTCGGGCCGGGTAGCACGTATATTTTCGGGCCCGGGCCGGGCTCGGGCTTGAACAAAAACGTTTTCTGGCCGCGCCAGCTCGGGCCGGCCCGGGCCGTACCTGGACAGTCGTGTTCCATAAATTCTAAATTGTTGATAACAAAGTTATCAACAATTTAGAAAGTTAGAAAGAAAATTCTAATTTCATCGAATAAAAAAACTAAGTGCAAAGTTATTCCAGTCTAGGCAGCTGCGAAGGTCTTTCCAATACACATCCTCATCCAAGATGGCCTAGCGTATTGGTTTGGTCACCCCGATATCTTTCATGATTAGTCGCTTGCAGTGCTTCCTTGTTGAGAAGGCTATGCAACGAGAGGGTGTCTCGCCCATTCTTGTCTTACAAGCCAATTTAAGTGTTGTAAAATTTCTTTTGCGTATCTTGAGTCCTGTTTTTGTTGGAGCGCAGCAGCAACTATGTGAGTATGTTTCACATATTTGATTATTTTCCTGGACATCTCATAAATTTCTTCCAAAACTTTCAGGTGCATGATATCGTTGAGGAGCAGGTTCAGTCCATGTGCTGCACACCCAATGGTTACAATGTGTGGAAATTTTTAAGTCGGCATATTTATTGTGTAAACAAAACTTGGTCCCAGTTTTCCGGCTCGGGCCGGGCTCGAGCTCATATTTTAAATTGCCATCGGGCTCGGGCCGGGCCCAGGCGATGTCCCTACCAGGCCCGGTTGGGTCGGGCCAGGCCTAGAAATAAAACATTCTGTTGGGCTTGGGCCGGGCCTGGGCCGTGTCTACTGGGCCAGGTTGGGCCGGGCCTAGAAATTCTGGCCCGTGCAGTGCTCTAGTCTAGAGTACAGGGTGTCACAAAAGAGATTTTGTTGTGTTCGTCCGTTTTTTTATCGTTCCCCATCTCAGGGTTTACAAGATGTCGATTGATTACCAGCTCGCCTGCACTCTCTCACTGCTTACAAATTTACACATTTTTTTTTACCGCAAAAATAAACTAGGCATCGCCGAGCGCTCATTCTCCGCTCAAAGGTAGCACTAGAGGTCACAACCAGATGCCAAAGTTTCAGCCCGATCTGATTACTTAATCAAAAGTTATAAGTACTTTTCTGAAAATTTCAAAGGGAAAATGGCGGCCGACGGAGTTTTCGAACAGATGGGGCTCTATGGCACCAGAAACCGAAAACGGGCAAAAATGGGCTCCCTTTTCCATTGAAATTTTCAGAAAATCACTTATAACTTTTGATTAATTTATCGGATCGGGCTGAAACTTTGGCAACTGGTTGTGACCTCTAGCGCTACCTTTGGGGAATGAGCGTTCGGCGATGCCTAGTTTATTTTTGCGGTAAAAAAGACCGTGTAAATTTTCTTTTGTGACACCTGTGCTGAGCGACAGCACTTTTGCAGAGCGTTCAAGTGCTGTCCGACGGCGCTCCACTCGCGCCTTCAAGTGCCATCCGAAAGTCTTGTGTAAAGCAAATTGTCAAAACCACATTAACCACATTTTTTTTTTCTTGGCCTGTCAAAATTTGTTTTTTGAAGCTGCAGCGTATCTTAGTGGTAAAATGTCTGCCTCATACGCAGTGAACTCGGGTTCGATCCGCAGTGTTATCATACTTTTTTTTTTCTCCAACATTGTTTTGTTGGGGGCATTTGGCAATACTTTGCAACATTACTCTTTTGGGGAAAGCTATAGGCACTATGTCGTGCATTTCAACCGGAAATGGCTAAATGCACTATGCAAACTCATATAAAACATATGTTTACCACAAGTTCGTGAAGCAGTGGCATAGCATAGTGGCTAAGGTGTCTGCTTCATATGCAGTGGGCCCCGGTTCAATCCCCAGTGTGTGCATACCTTTTTTTTTTATAACATTCTTGTTTTTTTTTTGCGTTTGGCAATATTTACGACATTTCCTTTTCACAATTAAAGGGACTCAGCAATCGTATATAATCGTCTACCTTTTCTGCAGTTTCCACGTCTCTTAGGGTTTGGGCAAGCCAGCGGGCATGGAGAGAGTAACTAAATATCAGTGCGTCATATTCTAACCGGATGACGCAGAAACCTCCCTCTTATGGGGGCAACTTGCGGTGCCAAAAGCGCGCGATATGTGACGTCTTTGGTCCTGGGCTTACTACTTGTCATCCGCTAAAAGCTTCTTTTTAGTCGAAATACGAAATATAAGTGGCGCGAACCGTATTAATTATTTATGAAAGCAGTTTTCCTTTTTTCAGTGTTTTAGATCAGTAAAGAAATGAATGCAGGTGATACGGAAACAAGAAATGACCCGTCGACATACCCGCCACCAAGCAGTGGAAAAGGCGGCGCGTACTAGAAAGGTGTAGAGGGATCAGGCACCGACAAGAGGCGAGCGTAGAAAGGTCCCGGATGTATGCGGCGGCGCTGCGGTCGTGCTCGAGGATCCGACCGGTTCCGAGCGTTCCAAAGGCCTTCGGCGAGAAGGGTTGACTTGCGGTTTTGCCGTTTGGCGGTATGGCAGCGCGAAGTGGCTCCCGTTCTGAACTGATTTCTACCCCGTGTTTGTGGTTGTTTGTGGTCAATGAAGTGTTATGCCCAATTAGTCTTTAATCTCGCAGCAAATGCAATGCGAGCCGCCCTGGCCACCCGCTTTATACAGCCTATCCAGAACATGCTTTAGTGGCACCCTCTCCAGCCGTCGACACGGAGGGCGGCAGCCGTGGGTGCTCCATGAGCTCACTACCCCTCCTCTAGTTCACGGCCACTCAAGTCAAGACCTACGACATCATGAAGAGGTTATATTTTGCTTGTTTTTGTAATTTTAATTTGCCTTTAACTTAAAATAAAGTGAAGTTCGAGGAAAGGAAAGTTTCTTTAAAGGGCAACTCCACTCCATTTTTACGCTTTTTTGGGTTATGATCTGTTTAGTCGAAGTCGGCGACCCTGAATCACGAGATATAATTTGTTTTTCGGTAGTGTGTATAGTTTTGTAGATATCGCGAATCTAAATATCGTTCCGGCGGCACGGCGAAACCGAAACTACCGGCTGAAGCAGCTTAGCAACACTGATATTAGTGGCGCGTCGTCGGCATGGCCTAGTTCTGGTCCCGCGCCGACATTGCCGGAGCCGACGCACCGACAATGTCGGCTCAGCCCCACGTGGAGTTTCAAAACAGAAGTTAAGTCACACATTTTCTTTTTTTACCGCTTCACTTTGTTAATATGCACCAAAAGTAGTAAGTTTGAGTGTGTATTTATAAATTTGCCGGCCGAAAAGCGAATCCGACTGCCATAAATATGACGCGGTCAGTGCCAGCGCAGCGTGACTGTATTTGTTTCTTGCTCGCGGACCGAGAGAAAAAGAAGTAAAAGGAGATAGATGGACAGATGTATCCACAAGCGATCTAAGTTGATAAAGCTAAGGTGCCTTTATGTGCACGCTAGTTAAATCAGCCGCGACCTGCTGCGTCCGACCGATTGTGCCGGAGCAGCCGGCGGACGGTACGCGAACAGCGACGACACCACATCGTTCTTTAAAGACGCATATTTTGTGGAGAAACCCGGAACAGTCAGCAGCCGCAGATCCCGTGTAGATGTCTCATGTAAAGTGCTGGGAGCAAAGCTTCGCGTTGGAGCTCAAAGTCGGCGGTCTTCCGAAGTCCATCCGGCGAACCGCACCGACCCACACCTTGTGTCTCTTCCGGTCTCTTGGGAACTGGTGGAACCGCAGCTCCGGGTTGCGCACCGGATTGTCGGTGCAACCCGCAGCACTACAAGTCGTGTCGACATTGCCCAACGCGAGTCCTGCGAATCTCTCCGGCTCCACGACACGCGCGTGAGCGAGCAGTACCGCTTCGCTCTCTTTCGCGCTGTCACGGAAGCAATGCTGGAGTTAAATGAATTGCTTGGACGCTAATAAAAATAAGAGAACACAGGATAACGTGGTAACACTCTTGCCGTCAGCAGAATCGCAGAATGCCACGGAAACGAAGCGTCCGCGGCGTCCGTATAGACGCTTTCAGCGAGTTAGTTACTCGAGCTGCCACCAGTCGGCGCGCCCTTCGCGCGCTTTCCGGGCCGCCATAGCCGACCTTGAGTTTCTCGCCGTTGCTCCGCGTTGTGTGCTGTACAAGCCACTACCGGAGCTTCGTTTTTGTGTTTTACGTTCCGCGTTGAAATCTCGTATTTTCTTTAAGTCTTTTCGGTATTTAGGATTTTCATATAATCATTTGATATTTATATTTCGACATAGCTCTTGTATTTTCTTTTTATAGAATGGAATCGGACAGTGAATGGGTCGACGAAACAAAATTATGAGGCTTCAATGACCATGTAAGTTCTTCCCATTCTCACGTTTTTGTTGCGACATATGTAATGTGTCGCAATAATGTGTTGCGACACATTATTGCGACATATGTAAATCGCAACTGACGCAGTAAGGCTATCACAGTCGTGCTTCTCGCTGCATGTGCGCACTGGTTTCCATAAAGCCGACCCGCATGTAAGCGATTTAGCGTGCGACAAGACGAACGACGGAGATTTTTTACCGTCGCCCGTCGTATCGCCTGCTTTTGGGATTTCTAGAAAACGTAGCTCACCGTCTTGGTCGCTTGCTCCGTCGCTTCCATGCGGTTTGCCTCGTCGCGCGACTGACTGAGTGAGAGCGAAGCGGGTCGCCGTCGCTTATCTGGTCGCTCGCCAAATCGCTTACATGCGGTTTATACTCAATTAATTTCCATCCACACAGCATTGAACCATTGGCGCTTTGATATTTAGTATAAACCGCATGC